CCCCCCTTGAGAGGGAAAAGTTGCGGTATCAGTTTGAGCAGCTTAAGCAGGGTCAGATGTTGGTGACCGACTATGAGGCGAGGTTTTCTAAGTTGTTCCGCCATGCACTAATGATACTTCCTACTGAGGTAGAGAGGGTGCGAAGGTTTGTTGCAGGGTTGCATTCTGGTATTAAGGCCAATATGGCCCGAGAGGTTGAGATGAGGACTCCTTATCAGCTGGTAGTAGAGATGCTCGGAGGATTAAGGGCTACCGTCTGAGAGGTAGAGAGCAGATGCAGCAAGACAAGAGGGCTTGATTCTCTAGAGAGTTTAGAGGTGCCTTGGCTAGGGGCAGAGGTCAGTTTGGGAGGGCCAACCCAGCAGGGCCCCATATTCAACACCACCACCTCTTCGAAGTACTCCAGCGCGCCCCTATTTCAGCGCAATACCAGAGAGTTCTTACCACCAGCCAGCTATCCAGGGTTCTTCCAGTGGCTATTTAGGTCCCCAGGGTTCTTCTATCCCCTATTTCAGTGCTATACCGGAGAGTTCATACCGCCCACCGGCTATTCAGGCTTTTTCTAGTGGGTCTACCAACCATCAGGGTCAGACATCAGGGCAGCAGGTCACCGCACTGCAAGGTTGTTTTGAGTGCGAAGATCTTGGTCATATGAGGAGATACTGCCCCAGACTTCGAGGCAAGGCAGTGCAGCAGGGTCAGCAGCCTATGATTTCAGCACCGGCTGCCCAGCCGCCCAGAGGCGGAGGGCAGACTGGTAGGGGTCGTCCTAGAGGTGGAGGCCAGGCAGGGAGAGGTCAGCCAGCTACTGCTCAGTCAGGTGGAGGCCAGCCAGCCGGCGCTCCAGCCAGGTTCTATGCTTTTCCGGCCAGACCAGATGCATTGGCCTCAGACGTCGTTATCACAGGTATTATTTCCGTCTGTGGAAGGGATGCTTCAGTGCTATTTGATCCAGGGTCTGCCTATTCATATGTATCATCTCTGTTTGCTCATTTTCTTGATATTCGTCGTGAATCCTTGGGTAGTCCTGTTCATGTGTCCACTCTTGTGGGCGATTCAGTGGTTGTGGATCGGATCTACCGGTCCTGTGTGGTCATATTCTGTGGATTTGAGACTAGAGCAGATCTCTTGTTGCTTGACATGACCGACTTAGAGATCATCCTAGGCATGAACTGGTTATCCCCGTATCATGCTGTCCTAGATTGCATGCCAAGACTGTTACCTTAGCAATGCCAGAGTTGCCGAGGTTGGAGTGGAAGGGTTCCTCAGTTAGTACATCTAGTCGTTCTCTTTTTTGAAGGCTCGGCACATGGTCGGGAAGGATTGTTTGGCTTACCTAGCTTATGTTCGGGATACCACCGCAGAGTCTCCGATGATTGATTCAGTTCCAGTAGTCCGGGAGTTCGCCGATGTGTTTCCTTCTGACCTTCCTAGCATGCCACCGGATCGTGATATTGATTTCTGTATTGATTTGGCTCCAGTCACCCAGCCTATATCTATCCCACCGTACCGTATGGCTCCGAAAGAGTTGAAGGAGTTGAAGGAGCAGCTTGAGGAGTCGTTAGAAAAGGGGTTTGTCAGACCGAGTGTGTCACCTTGGGGTGCACCAGTGTTTTTTTTGTCAAAAAGAAGGATGGGACTATGCGGATGTGCATTAGCTACCGCCAGTTGAACAAGGCTACCATCAAGAACAAGTGCCCGTTACCGCGCATTGATGATTTGTTTGACCAGTTGCAGGGTGCTAGGATGTTCTCTAAGATCGACTTGAGATCAGGGTATCATCAGCTGAAGATTCGGGACTCAGATGTCCCGAAAACTGCTTTCCGTACTAGATGTGGCCATTATGAGTTTCTAGTGATGTTCTTTGGCTTGACTAATGCCCCAGCGGTGTTTATGGACTTGATGAACAGGGTGTTCAGGCCTTATATTGATTCCTTTGTTATCGTCTTCATTGACGACTTCTTGATCTACTCATGTAGCCTAGGGGAGCACGAGCAGCATTTGAGAGTAGTGCTTCAGACCTTGCGAGAGTAAAAGCTATATGCTAGGTTCTCCAAGTGTGAGTTTTGGCTAGAGTCAGTAGCATTCTTGGGGCATATTGTATCAGGAGAGGGTATTAAGGTGGATCCCAAAAAGATTGAGGCAGTTCAGAGTTGGCCACGTCCTACTTTAGTGACTGAGATCAGGAGTTTCCTAGGGTTAGCAGGTTATTATCGCTGATTCTTGCAAGGTTTTTCATCCGTTGCATCACCTTTGACTAGATTAACCCAGAAGGGTGCTCCTTTTTGTTGGTCCGATGATTGTGAGATGAGCTTTCAGAAGCTTAAGACAGCTTTGACTACAACACCGGTTCTAGTGGTTCCTTCCGGTTCGGGGATATATACGGTATATTGCGACACCTCACGCGTTGGCTTGGGATGTGTATTGATGCAAGAGGGGCGAGTTATTGCATATGCTTCATGTCAGCTGAAGATTCATGAGAAGAATTACTATGTGCACGAACTAGAGTTAGCAGCGATTGTTCATGCTCTTAATATATAGAGACATTATCTGTATGGGGTGCCATGTGAGGTTTATACAGATCATCGCAGCTTACAGCATTTGTTTTAGCAGAGGGATCTCAATTTGAGGCAGCGTAGATGGCTTGAGTTACTAAAGGATTATGACATCACCATTCTTTATCATCCGGGCAAGGCAAATGTGGTCGTGGATGCCTTGAGTAGGAAGGCAGAGAGTATGGGTAGCTTGGCATTCATTTCAGCGGAGGAGAGGCCACTAGCTTTGGACATTCAGTCCTTGGCTAACAAACTTGTGAGGTTGGACATTTCAGAGCCCAGCCGGGTCCTTACATGTGTTGTTGCTCAGTCTTCATTATTGGGCAGATCAAGGCTCGGCAATTCGATGATCCACATTTGGCAATTTTCAGGGAGACGGTGCTACAGGGTAGTGCCAAGGAGGTTTTTATTGGCGAGGATGGTGTTCTGCGACTCCCGGGTCGCCTATGTGTTCCTAATGTCGATGGCTTGAGGGAGAGGATTCTAGAGGAGGCACACAGTTTATGGTATTCTATTTATCCAGGTGCTACAAAGATGTATCGTGACTTGAGACAGCATATTGGTGGCGGCGGATGAAGAAGGACATAGCTGAGTATGTGGCTAGATGCTTGAATTGCCAGCAGGTTTTGTATGAGCACCAGAGGCCAGGTGGCCTGCTTCAGTAGATGCCTATACCTGAGTGGAAGTGGGAGCGCATTACTATGGACTTCGTAGTTGGGTTGCCGCAGACATTGTGGAAGTTTGATGCAGTTTAGGTCATTGTCGACAGGTTGACCAAGTCAGCACACTTTATTCCGGTTGTGACTACTTATACTTCTGAGCGGTTGGCTCAGATCTACATTCGGGAGATAGTTCGGTTGCACGGTGTGCCTGTTTCCATCATATCATATAGAGGCCCTCAGTTCACTTCACATTTCTGGAGAGCCGTTCAGAGTGAGTTGGGGACCCGTATGGAGCTCAGCACAACATTCCATCCTCAGACCGACGGTCAGTCAGAGCAGACAGTTCAGATATTAAAGGACATGCTGAGAGCATGTGCAATTGACTTCGGAGGGTAGTGGGACCAGTTCTTGCCTTTGGCCGAGTTTGCTTACAACAACAGTTATCAGTCCAGCATCGAGATGGCTCCATTAGAGGCTTTATATGGTCGGCGATGTCGTTCTCCTATCGGATGGTTTGAACCTGGTGAGGCTAAGTTGTATGGTACAGACTTGGTAAAGGACGCCTTGAAAAAGGTAAAGTTGATTCAGGAAAGACATCGCACAACACAGTCCAAACAGAAGAGTTACGCGTATCAGAAGGCGCGTGATGTATCATTCATGGTCGGCGAGAAGGTTCTCTTGAAAGTCTCGTCGATGAAGGGTATTATGAGATTCGGGAATAAGGGCAAGTTGAGACCAAGGTTTATTGGCCCATTTGAGGTGTTGAGGCGAGTTGGGGAGGTTGCTTATGAGCTTGCTTTACCCCCTAGCCTATTAGGGGTGCATCCAGTTTTTCACGTGTCTATGCTTCGGAGGTATCACGCCGACTTGTCTCACGTGTTAGACTTCAGTACCATTCAGCTAGATGAGAGCTTGGGCTATGAGGATGAGCTAGCTGCCATTGTTGATAGACAGGATCGCCAGTTGAGATCCAAGAGAATTTCTGTGGTAAAGATCCAGTGGAGGGGCCAACCAGTCGAGGAGGCGACCTGGGAGTCCAAGGAGGACATGTGGAGCAGATATCCCCATCTTTTCCCTAGCTCAGGTACTTTTCTATGTCCGTTCGAGGACGAAGGATTGTTTTAGAGGTGGAGAATATGATGACCCAAAGGGTTATCTCGTGTTTCAAAACCCAATTAAGGGTTCTAAGGCCTTCAAAACCTCATCCTACTTCTCCTCGACTGCGTGCGCAGTCCGAGCGCGTTTCCGAAAGCCTTTGTTCGAAAAATTTGAGAAAATAATAATACCTTCCTTTAAAAGTGATTTTTGTTGACTTCGATCAACATTTTTAGTGAACGGACCCGGACCCGTGTTTTGACGGTCTCGGATGGTCCGTAGTAAAATATGGGACTTGGGCGTATGCCCGGAATCGAATTCCGAGGTCCCTAGCCCGAGTAATGAATTTTTGTTAAAAATTGTTAAACTGAAAATATAAGGATTTAAAGAAATTGAATAAAGTTTGATCATATTGGTATCGGGCCTGTATGCTGATTCTTGAGCCTGGTACAGGTTTAATATAATATTTAAGTCATGTCTGTGAAATTTGGTGAGAAACGGGACCGATTTGACTTGATTTGGACGTCCGCTTGTGAAAATAGGAATTTCAAATGTTCTTAAGGATTTCATGTTTTTTGGTGTTAAATCTGTGGTTTTAGATGTTATTTCGGCGATTTGATCGCACGAGCAAGTTTGTATGATGTATTTAAACTTTTGTGAGTATTCGCTGTGGAGCCCCGAGGGCTCGGGTGAGTTTCGGATGTGTGTTGGGGTTGAAAACACTCCAGTTTTCTGGTATTTCTGGGCAGCTGTTGCAGGTCTCACAAATGCGAGGATTTGTTCGCATTTGCGACAATCGCATTTGCGAGGAAGGCTTCACAATTTCGAAGAAGCCTGGGCTGGAGAGTCGTCACATTTGCGACATTTGTTCGCATTTGCGAACCCAACAGAGTCCGCATTTGCGACCCTTTTGTCGCATTTGCGACCCCTGCAGAGGGAGCCCAGGTTCGCATTTGCGATGCTTTTGTCGCAATTGCGACCTTCGCATTTACGAACCAGATGTCGCAAATGCGACATCTGAGGCCTGTGCACAGCTTTTAAAAATGGGACTTAGGCCATTTATTTCATTTCACTTCCACACTTAGGCGATTTTCAGAGCTTTTGGAAGGGGGCTTTCACCTAGCACTTTGAGGTAAGTTATTTCTACTTAATATGAGTTTAATACTTGGTTTTTGGGTAGATTAACACATAAAAATTAGTGAAAATTATGGGATTAGAGTAAAACCTAGGGTTTTGATAAAAACAAGATTTAACCACGAAATTTGTTATGGAATGGAATAAAATTCATATATTCTTGATCCTTAGGTTATGGGTAATAACTTTCTTCAAAAATTTCCGGAATCCAGGCACGTGGGACCGGGAATGAATGTTAGGTACCTTGCATTTTGGGTTGGGAAATTACTTTAATAGTTAGAATATGAACTCTTGAGCTTGTTTTGACTAGTTCTTACCCCATTTGGTTAATTTTGGATCGTTCGGCTCCGAATTGAGGGTTTTGAGCACATTTTTAAATTGGGATATAGGCTTTGGGAAGAGGTAAGTCTCCTTTCTAACCTTGTAAGAGGGAATTAACCCCATAGGTGAATTAAATAAGTGTATGTGACTATCTGTGGGGGCTACGTGCGTACGTGGTGACGAGAGTCCGTACGTAGCAACTATTATGCTAATTGTCCGGGTAGTTAGGACAGGGTATTGTGCTATACTTGCAAATGCTTGCGTCTTTGCTTACTATTGAGATCACTTAGGACATACTAGATATTGGTAAACAAATATAGACGCTTATAACCACTTACTGGAGACCTTGTATGAATTATTTGATTGTAAGTGAGCAATGTGTGCTTACTTGATAATAAATTTCTATTTATGGATCGGGTCGATCGCCTCGGTAATAAATAGATGCATCTATGGTTCGCGCCATTCGATCCTCATGCAGTGCATAGTTTAATATTATGTTGGACCGGGCCGTACGACCCCGGCATAATGTGCACATGTTATATGTTTTGGGATTCTTCCACGATTTACACTACTGAAATCTTTGAAATGTAAGTGTTACATGATATGACTGAACTTGAGATGTTACTTATGAAAGACTATCTTTTTTCTCCATGATCTTGAACTGTTATTATTATTATTCATGATATCTATGCTTAGTGTAACACTTAAATATGATTATTGCTGACCCAAGTAAGTGTCAAGTCGACCCCCCGTCACTACTTCTTCGAGGTTAGGCGGGATACTTACTGGGTACATATTATTTATGTACTCATACTACGCTTCTGTACTTAACTGTACAGGATCTGAGGCAGGTGCATCTAGCTACCCAGTCGGCGCGTATCCCTGATACTTGATCGAGACTTCACGGTAAGCTGCCCCTTCTGAGCCGTTCAGCAGCATGTCGTAGTCTCTTCTTTTTTTGTTATTTCTGTCTAATCTATTCCAGGCAGCAAGGTAGTTATATTCTTTTGTACATTCTACTAGTTGCCATAATACTTGTAACACTGGTTCCTGGCTCACGCACTGCTAGACTATTATTTTGGGGTTGTATATCAATTATCATGAAATGTTGATTATCCTTTGCTTTAAATTTAAGTCAAGAAAAAGTTGGGATTGTTTTTGATAAAATAATTGTGAACTCACTAGTCGATTAGGGTTGGCTTGCTTAACAACGCGTTGGGCGCCATCACGACCTATAATGGAATTTCGGTCGTGATAGTTCTTTGCTCAACATCACTCCCACTACTTGGAGGTAGCAAATTTCTTTTTGTCTATTAATGTTTCTCCCACTACTTAAATGCAATGGAACGTCAATTCTGACATATAAAGTTATATGTTCCTGAGCACTTGAATTTTAGATGATTCACACATTATTTCTTTGCTTAGTTCCTGTAAAGCTAGTTTACATCTAGGAACATAGTTTACTAAGTAATCCTATTATAGAGAACTGGCATTTGTACTAACAATTACCTTCTTTTCTTTAGAAAAATAAAATAAACCTCCTTTCGTTCCCTTGGATATCCAATAAACAAGCATACATTCGTCCTTGATTTAATCTTATCCATTTTTCCTTTCAGTATATATATTGGACAGTTCATATTTGAACTTGTCGCAGACCGGACTTACGTTGAGTTCACGTTCTATGGTGTCCAAGATACTGACTTAGAAAGAACTAAAATTAGAATATAATTGCAGTTTCTAAGGCATATCCATAACGAAAAAGGAAATAAATCATATAACTCACCATTAATCTAAACATCTCCATAAGAGTCTTATTTCTTCTCTCTACTACACCACTCTATTATAGAATATCCGGTGTAGACAATTGAGATATAATCTTCTAGTTTGATAAGGACCTAATGAACTTTGTAGAGAAGTGCTAGCCACCTACGATCAGATCGTAGTGATTTAATATATTCTCATGGTGCTTCTCCGTATCAAGTCTTTAAATCCTTGAATTATTCAAAGCATTCAGACTTACGGTGCATCAAATATATATTCATATTTTGAGTAATCATTTATGAATGTCATAAAATTACTCAGAACCACCTCTTGCCTATATATTCATTAGACAGTACAATCAAAAATGGATTAGTTCTAACTTATCACCAGCTCTCTTTCCTTTGGAGCAGAAATATCATTTAGTCATATTTCCTTCTAAACAGGATCCATAAGTTGGTAGTGCCTCTACTTTCAATGAACCTTAAGGTTCCTCATTGACCAACTGAAATCCTATCTAGATAATTATGACTTAGACGCAAGTGCATAGATAAGTTTCACTCAATTTTGAAGAGCATTTTCTCTTATGAGGTAGACTAATATTGTTCTGTTCAGGAGAGACATTAATAAACAATAACAAGGTCATGTATCCATGTACCATAAGAGATAAAATGTTTACCAAGCTCAATAACACAAGATTTATTCGAAAATAAACCAAATATCCATTTCTTATTTTGCTTAGAAACCGGAAAAATTCCTTCTAAAAAAAGTACATATATTGCATCATTTAAATTAATGTCTTATCGCTATCAAAGGAAATTCTAACAAGTAATACGGAAAACTGCATGAATTTATTGTGGAGTTGAGATATAAATCATTAAATAGATCATAATAAGTCACATTGAATTATAAAATTCAGACTGCATCCAATATATATACATACATGCATCTTGACTAGCAAATTTCGATGGGAAAAGAGCCATTCATGCAAAGCATATTATATAATGAAAGAAATATACAATCCAAAAGGAAACAGAACCAACTCAGATGGAGGGTATACAGTTAATTTAAGTTAAGTAAACATCATAATTAACAGCTCTAGGTCCATTGATCCAACATGTATACTCAGATGGAGAGTAATTACATGATATCAATAACTAATATTTCACCTGGTGAGTTTACAAAAAATTTATCCGACATGGAGGAAGACCTAAAGTCGACGCGTAAATTTATACTCACTTGAAAATAATAGTGGAAGGCCATAGAAATATATTTCTATCACCACTTAATCATGATTGCATTATGATTACAAAAATGATTCAACGTGTAAACTCAGATGGAGAGTCAATACATGTTATCAACTACTAGTAATTATACTCAGTAAGTTCATAATAAATTTATCCGATATGGAAGAAGACCTAAAGTCGACGCATAAATTTATTATCTCACTATAAATAAATAGTGGAGACCATATGTGATGACCAAAAAGGTCATCACTTGTTTTAGAAACAAATTCAGTGTTCTGAGGCCTTAAAAAAACTCCTTTTGTCACACCTCGATTTGCGTGCGCAGTCCGAGCGCGTATCCGGAAGGTCATTATGTGAAAATCTATGAAAAATAATAATTTTTGCTTTTAAAATGAATTTAGGTTGACTTGGGTCAATATTTTGGATAAATGGACCCGGACCCGTGATTTGACAGTCCCGGAGGGTCCGTAGGAAAATATGGGACTTGGGCGTATGCCCGGAATCGAATTCCGAGGTCCCAAGCCCGAGAAACAAATTTTTAAAGAAAATTATTTTCTGGAAAATATATGAGTTTTTGGAAATGAAATGTGTTTTAAATTTGATGATATCGGGCCCGTATTTTGGTTCCAGAGCGTACAGGTCTTATATGTGATTTAAGTTGAGTCTGTGAAATTTGGTAAGAAACAGACTTGAAATGACGTGAATCGGACCTTATTTGAGAAAATTGGAAAATTTGATGTTCTTAAGTGATTTCATGATTTTGATGCTAAATTCATTGTTGTGGATGTTATTTTGGTGATTTTAATGCACGAGCAAGTTCGTATGATATTTTTGGGTTAGTGTGCATGTTTGGTTTGGAGCTCCGAGGGTTCGGGTTAGTTTTGGATAGGCCACAGAGTGAAATTTGACTTAGGAGAATTGCTGGTGTGTTGCAGGTTTGTAGCAGGCCTCTGATCTCGCATTTGCGAGATCAGGCATCGCAAATGCGGTGAAAACAGGGTTCGCAAATGCGAGATTTTTCTCGCAAATGCGAAGTCACCCGTTAAATTCAGAAGTTGCAAATGCGACCCATTTATCGCAATTGCGATGTCGCAAATGCGACCTATCCTTCGCATTTGCGATGTCTGCAGGTCCCTTAAGGGTTCGCAATTGCGAACCCTGGTCGCAATTGCGACATCAGAGACCAGTTAATTAACACTTAGACGCGTTTTCAGCCATTTCTCACATCTTCTCAAAACATAAACTCTCTTGGGCGTTTTTCCAAAGAAAATTTCTTCTCCAAATCGATTGTAAGTTGTTTCTAACTCGTTTTCTTCAATCTTTAACATCTTTTCACATGATTTCAACTCAAAATCAAAGGTGTTTATAGGGAAAATTGGGTGTTTTGGATAGAACCTAGGTTTTTCAAATTTTGGGGATTTGGACCTCGATTTGAGGTTCGATTTCAAAACAAATTATATATTTGAGTTCGTGGGTGAATGGGTAATCGGGTTTTGGTTCAAACCTCGAGTTTTGACCATGTGGGCCCGGGGTCAATTTTTGACTATTTGGGAAAAACTTTAGAAAACTTATTTCCATGCATTAGAATTGATTCATTTAGCATTTATTGACAAAATTAAGTAACTTGTGGCTAGATACGAGCGAATTGGTGGTGGAATCAAGAGGTAAAGCGATAGTTGAGGCTTAAATTGTGTTCGAGGCATCGAGGTAAGTGTTTGGTCTAACCTTAGCTTGAGGGATTAGGAGTCGAGTCCTATTTTCTATGTGCTATTTGATGAGTACAACGTATAGGCATGGTGACGAGTATCTATACGTTGGTGTCAAGCATGCCCGTGAGTCTTAAATTGAAATCGTTGTGTTCTTAATAAGTTCTACAAACGCCTAAGTTGTTGATTCTCTATGTTGAGCAAGAATTTTGATTATGCTAGTGGAAATTGCTTATGGTTGAGTTTCGGTTCTAGTTGAGGTCTCTTTTGTGAAGATAAATGTTGAGACAAGTTTGGTTATAGCTGATTCCCTTGCCGGGACGTATTTACTTTAAACTGTCGATTCCTTTGCCGGGACATTGTTGTCCTCTTATTGCTCCCTTGTCGGGATTCTTTGTGATTGGTGTTGAATTGTATATTGGGATCGGGTTGCATGGCGCAACAATATTATATGGATCAGGTTGCACGCCGCAACAATATTATATGGATCGGGTTGCACGCCGCAACTGTGTTTTGTGATTTGGATCGGGTTGCGCGCCGCAACAATAAAGAAAAAAAGTGGATATCGAATTGTTATTGTTTCCTTATTCCTTCTGCTGCGAAATTTAAATTGTTCTTTATGCTTTTCTCCTGAGTTACTGTTGGTAAATGATACCCCCACAGCATGTCCCCTTCCCATCTTAAGTTGCTAGTTTTCCTTTATTGCTACTTGTTATATATATGATTTAACTGCACAGGTATATTTGGTAGTCTGGTCCTAGCCTCGTCACTACTTCGCCGAGGTTAGGCGAGGCACTTACCAGCACATGGGGTCGGTTGTGTTGATACTACACTCTGCACTATTTTGTGCAGATCCCGATGCTTTAGCTTACGGACCGCAGTGAGATTTGTTGTTTCTTGATCATCAAGCGACCCGAAGTAGTCCTGCAGGCGTCTGCAGGCCTTGGCGTCTCCTTCTATCTTTATTCTTGTTTCTCTCATGTATTTCCAGAGACAGTGTTGTATTATTTCTTTTAGACTTTTATTTGTAGTACTCCTAGACAGTCTGTGAAGTTGTAACACCAGTCTTGGGTAAATTTGTTATGGATTGGCATTAGCAGTATTATTAAAAACTTTGTAATTTAGTCTTCCGCCTATTCAAATTCTGTTGTTATTTAATTGTTGGTTCTTAATTGTTATCGGATTAAAGATGGAAACAAGGTAAATGGTTCAATTGGTTGGCTTGCCTAGCTTTCACGAGTAGGCGCCATCACGACTCTCGGGGGTGGGAAATCCGGATCGTGACAAGTTGGTATCAGAGCTCTAGGTTACATAGGTCTCACAATTCACAGACAAGCTTAGTAGAGTCTGAGGGATCCGTACGGAGA